TGACCCCATGGACCAGAGCACGCCAGGCCCTCCTGTCTTCCACTGCCTCCCGGAGTTGTGTCAAATTCATGTTGGTTGCTTCGCAGACACTGTCCAGCCATCTCATCCTCGGTCGTCCCCTTCTCCTCTTGCCATCACACTTTCCATTGTTATTTCATGTTAATTGTTTTTATTCTGTGTTTTGTGAGCCGCCCAGAGTAGACTATGTCTAAAAGGGCGGTATATAAGCTCAATAAATAAATAAATAATAAATTTCTATCAAATAGAAGGGTAAGATATGGAGGAAGTGGCAGATTTTACTTTCCTGGTCTCCATGATCACTGAAGATGGTGACAGCAGCCACGAAATTAAAAGACATCTGCTTCTTGGGATGAAAGCGATGACAAACCTAGACAGTATCTTAAAAAGCTGAGACATCACCTTGCCGACAAAGGTCCGCATAGTCAAAGCTATGGTTTTTCCAGTAGTTATGTATGGAAGTGAGAACTGGACCATAAAGAAGGCTGACCGCCAAAGAATTGATGCTTTTGAATTGTGGTGCTGGAGGAGACTTGAGAGTCCCCTGGACTGCAAAGTGAACAAACCTATCCATTTTGAAGGAAAACAACCCTGGGTGTTCACTGGAAGGACAGATCCTGAAGCTGAGGCTCCAGTACTTTGGCCATCTCATGAGAAGAGAAGACTCACTGGAAAAGCCCCTGATGTTGGAAAAGTGTGAAGGCAAGAGGAGGAGGGGATGTCAGAAGACGAGATGGTTCAACAGTGTCATCAACATGAATTTGGCCCAGCTCTGGGAGGCAGTGGAAGACAGGCGGGCCTGGCGTGCTCTGGTCCATGGGGTCATGAAGAATTGGACATGACTTAATGACTAAACAACAACAAGAGAGTCTCTGGTGGTTATCCCCTCTCCTACTTTGTTCTTGAAAAATGATTGTTTTTGTCAGCTCTTCAATACAAGACAATGCATGCAGACTTGAGATTCATACACTTCCTTGCTTGGTACTATTATATGCATAATAAGCTAGAATCACCCAACAAGGAAGGACACTTGTCTGATAAAGTTCCTACCTATAATGGTGTCAAGCAAGCTCCATTGTTATTTAATTTGAAATCAACTCAATGGTTACGGCACTCAGCCGACCAGAGTTCCATCCCCCCAAACTAGGGAATAGACATACAGTGGTGCCCCGCAAGACGATGTTAATTTGTTCCGCGAAAATCACTGTTTTGCGAAAACATTATCTTGCGAAACGCTGTTCCCCATTGGAATGCATTGAAATCAATTTAATGTGTTCCAATGAGGAAAAATCGTCGTCCTTTTGCGAAAATCGCCCATAGGAAAACCATTTTGAGAAGCGTGGATGAGCTGTCAAAATTGCTGTCTTGCGAAAAACGGTCCTGAAAACAACCGTTTTGCGAGTCGCAGACCTAGCTGTCAAAATCATCTTGCAAAAAACTGTCCTGAAAAAAAAAACGTCTTGTGAAGCACGGACCGAAACATCGTCCAGCGGAAACTGGCCATAGGAAACACCGTTTTGCGAAGCGCTACAGCAATCGCAAAAACTCATTGTCTAGCGAATAAACCATTTTGCAAGGTATAGTGGGGCACCACTGTATATCCCTTCTATTATATGCAGATGAAACAGTCCTAATTTCACAGACACCAAAAGGACTAAAGAGAGCATTACACGCTCGCATGCAATACTGTAAGGAGGAAATGCTACAAATAAATTACTCGAAGACGAAAGTTCTAGTGTTCGCTCAGAGGCCCAGAATCTATAAGTGGTTAATTGATGAGCATGAGATAAAACATATTAAGTCTTACAAATATTTGGATGTTGTATTTCAATACAGTGGACCCTCGACTTACAGACGGCTCGACTTACAGACTTTTCGAGTTACAGACTTCTCTGGCTGCAAAATTTAGATTCGACTTGC